TATATATATAAAAGTTTAAGAGAGAAAGACTATGATCATAGTCATTTCTCAGGGGCACCTGCGTGACTCAGTTGGTTGGGCGGCTGCCTTTGGCTCAGGTCGTGATCCCAGGGTCCTGGGATCGAGTCCCGCATCGGGCTCCCTGCTCAACGGGGAGCCTGCTTCTCTCTCTCCCACTCCCCCTGCTTGTGCTCTCTCGCTCTCTCTTACTGTCAAATAAATAAATAAAAATCTAAAAACTAAATATTCATTTCTCAGAGGAGAAAACTGAGGCCTAAAGAGGTTCAATTGCTAGCCCGAGGCCACACAGCTGCTAGGTGGCAAGCCAGTCAGGGTTCAGACCTCCCCAGGCTTTCGAGGGCCACACTCCAGGAGTCAGCCCGGCCCCCCCTTTGAGGCAGTTCCCCCGGAAACAGGCACAGGTGTAGCTACACTGATCAGAAGATGGCCTGTAAATGTTGCTCACAGATCCAGGCAGCAAGTGGGTGACCAAAAGGTCATTGGTAACATTGGGGTGTGAGGTGTGGGGTACCGCAAGCCCACCTGCCCCCCTCACCTCTCTTCAGCAGGCTGCCCCAGTGCCACATGCCTCTCGGAACCCGGGGATGGAGTGCTATTTGTGTATAGAAATTTGTGGGGAGAGCAGTGTGTCCAAAAAGCCACCGTCAAAATTACGCACACTGCCCCCCTTCATGCTCTTCAAACTGGAGTCTGAGTCCATACTCCTTATGCATTTGCATTTTTCTCAAAGATTTGGGAGGAGGGCGCCTGGGTGGCTCAGTTGGTTAAGCGACTGCCTTCGGCTCAGGTCATGATCCTGGCGTCCCGGGATCCAGTCCCACATTGGGCTCCCTGCTCGGCGGGGAGTCTGCTTCTCCCTCTGACCCTCTTCCCTCTCGTGCTCTCTATCTCTCATTCTCTCTCTCTCAAATAAATAAATAAAAATCTTTAAAAAAAAAGATTTGGGAGGAAAATATCATGTGAATAATACATTAAATATTTTTTTAGGTAAAAATATCATGGTGAGGAATGCACAAGTTTCATGCCTTGTAAAGAATACGTAGCATTTCGGGGTGCCTGGGTGGCTCAGTGGGTTAAGCGTCTGCCTTCAGCTCAG